TGTACAGAAATGGAACATTAGTTAAAACTCAGTCTTCAACATTTGAATTTTCAACATTTAATTTGACTGTAGATTTCTCAGATCAGGGCCAGTACAGCTGTGACTATTCATACCAGAGAAACAGGTCCATCCAATCACCCAGAAGCAACTCTGTTAACATCATTGTGGGTGAGTGCGCAGATTATTATTTTATAACACTCTGCTCTTCATAACAAAATAGGTGTGCTAATTTGGAATGTTTTTACAAATTCTGTCCTAAAGAAAGGATGAGGATGGTTCCAAATAAGAAGTTCCTTTATAAAACTCTTCAGACTTTGTCAGCATCAAGAATCTTCGTCATCATCTGCAAAATTTTCTGTTAGACCCTGTCCTGTAATGTTCTCATGTTACCTTTGTAGGATAGTTATCTGTATCTCCATATCAAGTTCCTGTTCTATGTGTTCCTGTGGATGTAATACTCACTGTCATTGCCGTTTGGGGATTGCTTCTGCCATTTATAGTATTCTCTTATGTATTTAAGAACACTGCATTGCCATTTTGGTATGCAAGCTGTACCTCAGACATAGATTGCCACATCATTAGTGTTGCGACTCTGCAGGTGGAGAAAAAACAAGCGAAATAGCCAGAATGACCATAAAGTTGAAAGGATGTGTGGACCTTTAGATTAAGTCTCCAGAAAATGCTATGAGGAGTTTATTTTGTGGACCGGATCTGAATAACCTGCACAATTTTCAAGTTCAGAAAATTACAATGAGATTACGCAAAAACTACTAAACATGGCAACCAAAATGGCCAAAGCTCTTAATTCTTTAAATTTTCCTTTCTACCCTAAAAAATGAACCAGTTATCATTCACTTTCAATGAGAGCGATTTCTGGCGCCAGGAGGCGGTGTGAACGTTGGCGACGCGAAGTGAGAGGACTTAGCGTCATCCTACTATAGATGGAATAATGGCGGCAGTGCGTTCATCACAAATAGACAGTAATAAAAAATAAGCACACAAGTGATTTCTCACCAGGATTTTCATTTCTAGCAGGAATGCATCTAATTTGTGCTTGGCATCAGTGAAACCATGACAACCAATGGTCAGTTGGAGTTCAGAAATGCCCACAGGTGATGAGCGATCAGCGATCTGGGCGAAAAGAGGCGAAAAGTCGCTGCCGGTGTGAATGTAGGGTTATACGTAAAACAGAAATTATATACAATATCTCACAAAAGTGAGTACACCCCTCACATTTCTGCAAATATTTTGTTATATCTTTTCATGGGACACTATAGAAATGAAACTTGGATATAACTAAAAGTAGTCAGTGTACAGCTTGTATAGCAGTATAGATTTACTGTCCTCTGAAAATAACTCCACACACAGCCATTAATGTCTAAATAGCTGGTAACACAAGTGAGTACACCTCACAGTGAACATGTCCAAATTGTGCTCAAAGTGCAAAATTTTGTGTGACCACCATTATTATCTAGCACTGCCTTAACCCTCTTGGGCATGGAATTCACCAGAGCTGCACAGGTTGCTACTGGAATCCTCTTCCACTCCTCCATGATGACATCATGGAGCTGGTGGATGTTAGACATCTGTGCTCCTCCTCCTTCCGTCTGAAGATGCCCCACAGGTGCTCAAATGGGTTTAGGTCTGGAGACATACTTGGCCAGTCCATCACCTTTACCTTCAGCAAGGCAGTTGTCATCTTGGAGGTGTGTTTGGGGTCGTTATCGAGTTGGAAAACTGCTATGTGGTGCACTTTTCGAAGGGAGGGGATCATGCTTTGCTTCTGAATGTCACAGTACATGTTGGAATTCATGTTTCCCTCAATGAATTGCAGCTCCAAAGTGCCGGCAGCACTCATGCAGCTCCAGACCATGATGCTACCACCACCATGCATGACCGTAGGCAAGAGACAGTTGTCTTGGTACTCCTCACCAGGGCGCCGCCACACATGCTGGACACGATCTGAGCCAAACAAGTTTATCTTGGTCTCGTCAGACCACAGGACATGGTTCCAGTATTCCATATTCTTGGACTGCTTGTCTTCAGCAAACTGTTTGTGGGCTTTCTATGTGTCAGCTTCGGAAGAGGCTTCCTTCTGGGACGACGACAATGCAGACCAAGTTGATACATTGTGCGGCGTATGGTCTGAGCACTGACAGGCTGACCTCCCACTTCTTCAACCTCTGCAGCAATGCTGGCTGCACTCATGCATCTATTTTTTTGAAGCCAACCTCTGGATTTGACACTGAACATGTGGACTCAACTTCTTTGGTCGACCCTGGCAAGGTCTGGTTGGAGTGGAACCTGTCCTGGAAAACCGCTGTATGACCTTGGCCACCGTGCTATAGCTCAGTTTCAGGGTGTTAGCAATCTTCTTATAGCCTAGGCCATCTTTGTGGAGAGCAACAATACTATGTCTCATATCCTCAGAGAGTTCTTTGCCGTGAGGTGCCATGTTGAATATCCAGTGGCCAGTATGAGTGAATTGTACCCAAAACACCAAATTTAACAGCCATTCACACCTGGAACCTCGTAACACTAACGAGTCACATGACACCAGGGAGGGACAACGACACAATTGGGCACAATTTGGACATGTTCACTGTGAGGTGTACTTACTTGTGCTGCCAGCTATTTAGACATTAATGGCTGTATGTTGAGTTATTTTCAGAGGACAGTAAATCTATACTGCTATACAAACTGTACATTGACTACTTTAAGTCATATCCAAGTTTCATTTCTATAGTCTTGTCCCATGAATAAAATATTTGCAGAAATGTGAGGGGTGTACTCACTTTTGTGAGATACTATATGTATAAGATAAATGATGTATTATATTTGTATGAGCCTCATGTTGGCTTCTTGTTCTCCGGCTTCTCATTTAGGAAAAGAACGTGGATGCCATCGTCGGCCTCATTATACATATGCACAGCCACAAGATATTTTGCAAATGTCCCAGAAAATTTTTAGACATCCAGTTTACCTCAGTAAATGCATCCATATTCAGGATATGCTTTCAGCGATTTCTTTTTATACAAATGCACCACTAAACTTCCACTTGGAAAATGTTTAATGGGCAGCTAACAAGCAGCACAGCTGAGCTATGTTCAGCCACAAGACCTGCTAGATTTTTGCATGTTGCTGATCTAATGCTGTGTCCCAAACCCCACATTTCTGCTGTAGTTATGGCCATATCTCAGTACATCAGAGGCTTCTTGGGATATCATCTTCCACAAAAAGTAGTTATTTCTTCTCTGACATTACATAGCGTATTAATTTGGTAAGCTAAAAAGCACTCTGGCTAATGCTGTTGACCACGAGTAAATGTTATGGTATTATAATTGCATCATGTATGGTTTTCTGGCCTTCATATGGCCATGTTTTCAGATAGCAATGTAATTTTATAGCTATTATTTGTTTTCTTCTGCATCTTCTACAACAACAAAGAAAAATGAGTCAGAGACTGATCAAGATTTGGTGTTTTTTTGTTTGTAATAAATCAGGCCCTAATGAGATCAGGCTGGTAAATAGTACAAGTCGCTGTTGTGGTAGAGTGGAGATCAAGATCAGTGGACGATGGGGAACAGTATGTGATGATAACTGGGACATGAATGATGCAGAGGTGGTGTGCAGACAGATGGGATGTGGCAGAGCGGTCAGCGCTCCTCACAGTGCCCACTTTGGTCAGGGAAGTGAACCAACATGGCTGGATGAGGTTGGGTGTAGAGGAACTGAGATCTACATAAGTCAGTGTTCACACAATGGATTTGGAAAGGAAGACTGTGGACATCAAGAAGATGCTGGAGTTGTGTGTTCAGGTAGGTAATAGTTTTTTACACAAGGTTAAGAGGGTTACTTTAAAAATGTATTCCGTTACAGATTACTGATTCCCTGTTAAAAAATGTAAGAAAAAATATAAACTAATCCAAAGGATTACAATATTAAAATCTGATTGCTTTCCGTTACTTTTGGATTACTTGTGTTTTAATAAAAGATTTATAATTAAAAACCCATTTCCAAAGTCAAGATGCTGTGCAAAATGTAAATAAAAACAAAATGCAATGATATGCAAACCATTTAAACCTTATATTTAATTGAAAATAGTACAAAGACAACATATCAAATGTTATTGTTTTTTGAAAAATATATTCCATTTTGAATTTGTTGCCAACAACAAAAAAGTTGGGACAGGGGCAACAAAAGGCTGGTAAAGTTGTGTAATGCTTAAAAAAAACACCTGGTGGTTAATTGGCAACAGGTCAGTAACATGATTGAGTATAAAATGAGCATCCCAGAGAGGCTGATTTCTTGAGAAGTAAATGTGGGAAGGGGTCAGGATGGAAAAAGCACTTAAAATCCAGTCCTTCAGAAGAAAAGATGAGGAGAAAGTGTGAAAGTCTGCACGATGAACAATTCAAGAATAAAATGTCTTAACATAAGATAGCAACAAACTTTTGTTTTTCATCATCTATGGTACAACATAACATTAAAAAATTATGAGGATCTGGAGAAATCTCTGTATGCAAAGGACAAGGCCAAAAAACAGTATTTGCTGGCCGTGATCGTTGGGCCCTCTGGTGGCGCTGCGTTGAAAACAGAGACAAAAAAAAACAAATATAAACAGGATTCAGAAACACCTTCTCAGCCTGAGCTCATTTAAAATGGACTGAGGGGAAGTGGAAAAGTGTTCTGTGGTCTGACGAATCAACATTTGAATTTTTTTTTGGAAATCATGGATGCTGCATCCTCCAGGCTGAAGACCATTCAGCATGGCTCCGTATTAAAAGAGTCTGGGCGCTAAACTGGCCTACCTGCAGTCCAGACCTGTCACCCACTGGAAACATTTGGCACATTACAAAATGAAAAATACAACAAAGGAATCCCAACTTTTTTGGAAATGTTGTAAATGAAGAAAAGAGAAAAATAAATTCAACAAAGCTTTTTAACAAGGATTTAACTGAACACACACCAAACACTAAAACTGCACTGTTTATGAAACAGAATGTTAGATTATAGGTGACTTAATTATTGTACCTCACAGAAACAGTCACACAGCAAAATGGCCAAATCTAAGATGAGAAATTTGTATAACATCATACTTTATATACTATATATATGATATATAAGAGTATATATATATGTATAATATATACTCAAACCTTGAAGTTTAGAAAAAAACATTGCATTTAAGAACATTCTTATGAACTTGTTAGTGTTTGTCTTAAGAATCTTAAGAAGTTTTTTCTTAAGACAGGTTTGTAACGGAATTCAGTTATGGTATTTTGGTAAGCTGATTATGTAATGTCTATTACTGCCCAACTCTGTTCTTGTAGTAGTTTAATGTTTGAATGCATTTACCACATTACTGATTATATTTCTTTAACAGATGACATGCAGAGTCCCACGTTCACCCTGATCTCATCACACTCTGCTGTATCTGCTGGGGACACTGTTCAGTTCAGATGTATGCATCCAATCCCAACCTGCATCTCTCCTGCTTTCCATTTGTACAGAAATGGAAAATTAGTTAAAACTCAGTCTTCAACATCCTCAACATCTGAATCTTCAACATTCAGTTTGACTGTGGCTTCCTCAGATCAAGGCCAGTACAGCTGTGGCTATTCATACCAGGGAAAGAGCTCCATCACATCACCTAGAAGCAGCTCTACTGACATTACTGTGGGTGAGTGCACAAATTATAATTTTATAACAGACTCTGATCAATGTTGAACAGCACTGGAAATCTAATATTGGAATGTTTCTTCCAATTTTTGTTCTAAGGTAAGGATTCTAAGCTATTATTTTAAAGTTGCAATTTAGAACTTGTTTTACAAAACTCTTCAGACACTGTCAGGGTCAAGAATCTGTAATCTGCAAACTTGTCTACAAGATCCTGTGCTATAATAGACCACTGAAGCTGTGTCATCATTCTGTAGTAAGCATCCTGCTCTTATGCCCATAAAAGGAACTCTGGGTCTAGAAGGAATTTCTCTATGAGAAGAAAGAATGGAGTTTTTGATAACTGCTTCTGTTGCATTATGTGGTTATCAAAAATGTTACATATGTTTGTGAACATTTTTGTCTCAATTCTCACTGGATCCTCTGAATTACAAAGTTGTTCAAGAGTTGAAATATGAATATTGCTACATGTAAGCTAATGGTACTGCACAATAAATTGACGTCATTAGACTGGCAGCCCTCTCAAAACTACACAAACCAGCAAGATTTGCCAGTGTGGGAGGTTATTCCCATGAACAGAATGAGGACTCATGAAAAAGAATCATAGAAAGAGAAACAGGTTTCCCTGTTAAGCAATGTAGGTTACAATGCAGTTATCTGTTCTTCTCTCACTGAAAAACTATAGTTTTTTCCCTTCCAATCGTAGCTTGTTTTGACAAGTTCTACAAGCTTTCCTGCTCTCATACTAATTCAGTAGGGAGACACACTTCCTTGGCCATTCTCCACTTGTTCCACCACATCGTCAACAGCAACAGCTGTCCCTCGACTGCTTTCTGCTTTCTCTGCCGCTCTGGTCGCTGTCCTTCAGCTGGGCTCTGCTCTCAAGCCTGGTCATGTCGTCTCGACCACTGTCCTCCTCTGCCCGTCTTCGCAGCTTCTCTTCTCTCTGACAGTTGTCTGCCTTACTCAGTCTTTTCAGACGTTTTCTGCTGACTTTGCTATTCCCCACCAGTCTGCTAGGAGACAATCCCACTTCTGGCAAAACTGTGAAATCAGCGTAGAAGAAAAAGACACGGAAAACATAGCACTTCGAGCAAGTGCTCTTTTATTAACATAGCGGCATGATAAAATCATCGCTCAGTGCTGCTGAATGGCTGAGCAGCAGGGTAGGTAACTAAACACTACACCTTTGTGTATAGTGTTATCTATCAATCTATCTATCTGAACCATACCACATTGCAGGGGCTTACAATAAATATCCTTTCAGACAGACGTTACTTTTATTCACTCACTAAGAATCCAAAACTTCTAAATTCATAAAGTGAACACCGACATAGTGCCAAATTCAAAGAGTCAAACATAAATCTGACATAAATAAATCAATAAAGTTTGGTACAGCTTAAATAGTTCTTTAAAATGTAAATAACTATCTACTTGAACTTTCTGAAGATTTCTTAAACATTTTTCATTGTGAAAGAAATAAGTAGCAATGTGCAAACTGCAGTAAAAAATACCTTGGTGTCCGCTGACAGGCATACAAAGCATTTAAGAAGGCGTTGCAGGAGTATTTCCTGAACACACTGCTGCCAGAAAAACCTGAGGCAAAATCGTACAGCTTGTCAAGCTGGGTACCTTTTAAGTAGTCATTGCTAAATCAGTGGCAGCAGAGCTTATTCTCAACGAAGACATCAAGGCAAGTAACAGTGATTCATGGTGGAAGAGCTCAAGGAGGGGATGGTGTGCTGCACAGCCCCCCAAGCAAGTGGAGACGGAGCAAGTGGTATGCTGGTGATGCAGGAAAGGGGCACTGTGCCAGACAATGCCACAATCCTGGGCTGGTGGGAAAACAAAAGCCAGCTGGGAAGATCATATTTGTCAGTGTTGTTTGATGCATCATCAAAACAGTCCTGGAGCGCAGAATCTGATGGTTCAGCTTCTGTTGATAGGTGGGTGGGAGCAGGATGGAGAAGTGATCTGATTTGACAAACGGAGGTCGGGGGATAGCTTTGTACGCCTCACAGAAGGGGGGGTTATAGTGATCCAGCATGTGTGATTTTCGTGTGCTGCATGTGATGTTTTGGAAGTACTTTGGCGCAACTTCCCTAAAGTTAGCTTTGTTAAAGTCCCCAACAACAATGGAGGCAGCCTCCAGGCGTGTGGTCTCCTGCCTGTTAATAGCTTCGTAGAGTTTCCAGAGTGCCAGGTCCATAGCAGTGTCTGGTGGGATGTACATGGTGGCTGATTTTGTTGTCTAGGGACTGTACATTTGCACTCCCCTGGGGAGTGGGGGGTAGTTAGCACGCTGTCTCAGTCTGACCAGAACGCAGGCTCTCCTGGCCCTTTTCAGCCATCTGTGGCGTGTCCTTGGCCAGTCAACCCAGATAACTGGGGCCTCAGCGATGTTCCCAAACAATGGATCTGCGTTCAGAAACTCAAAGTCCAGTTTTTAGTGAGTGTCGATCTAATTTCCAAAAATGTTTGTCTGTTTAAACAAAGGCACTGGCAACATTTAGTGTGAAGGTAGTGACAGACAAACACACAATTAACAAAAACTAAAAGAAGCGAAGGGAGTTCACAACACAGCAGCCATCTTGGAGAGACTTGTGGGCTTTATGAATACACATGAATGCAATTTGCTTTGTGTAACACCCCAGCACAGTGGGCAGTTGAGGTTGTGTTCAGGGTTTTGCAATGGCAGTATCTCTGAATTTACCATGATGATGTAATCATCCTTGAAAAAAGATACCAATGATGGCTTAAACAACCTCGAAGTGATTTTTGAGTGCATGGGTCAGTAGGGATTGAAGTTGAAGCTGTCACTGTCACCTAGTGAAGGATGAAGTCGTATTCCTCAGACACATCATTAATGGCCAAGATATCAGTCCAACCCTAAGCTTAGTCACAATGTCAGAGACTGGAGTTCTCCACAAAATCTTTAGTTATCTGTTATCATTTTGCAAAGTCTTTCTCTGTGGTTGCACCAGAGGAAATAGTGCATTTTGTCTTGGCCTATAGAGTGAAAGGAAGCAAGAGGGACTCTGGATCAAGGTTTCTCAACCAGTGGGCCACGGACCACAAGTGGGCCGTGAAATACCCTCTGGTGGTCCTTGGACCAATACTGAAGATGAGTAAGTGGTTCATAGGGAGCCAGTGATGGTACTTTATCATAAAAAGCAGTGAAAAAATATATTTAGTAATAAGAAAAAAATCTAAAATGTTCTCAAATGATAAGCAATATTAATACAAGTCATGCAACAGTGGTGCGCAAAGCAACTTGTCTATCTCATCTATCTCTGTATCTTATTTTCACCTAATCTGTGTGTGTTGATATAATGTTCAGCGATATAACTGGCATGTTGTGGCACCTAAGAAGTGCTGTGCTGAAAATTTCAAAAATTAAAAAAAAAAAATTTTAAAGCAAAAATGTTTGTTGTTGTTGTTATTGTTGTTGTTGTTTTCTGGTGGACCTTGGTGTTTTCTAATGATGAATAGGTGGGTCTTGAGGTGGAAAACGTTAAGAATCTCTGAACTAAACGCTGCAGTACAGCTATAAAGAACTGAAAGACAGATCTGCTACAAAATCCTACCTGCATTCTCTGTCTGTTGCCCCAAGGGCCAGCGCACCTTCAGCCCCACTAATTATCGGTGATGGAAATTAACGAGTGTTGAGTGTGTTGAGGAAGTCAGTGTTGTCATCGTTGGATGGTGGGTGCGACCTGTAGTCTGTGATGGACTGAATACCTTGCCACAAGCGCCTGGGATCTTTTGAGTCAGTAAAGTGACTCTGGATTTTCTGACCATAAGCTTGCTTTGCTGCTCTCATGTTCCAGTTGGCTCTAGGAGATCTAAGAGTGTTTTTGTCATCAGACTTGAAGGCAGCATTACATGCTCTCAGAGGTACATGCACCTCTCTGGTAAGCCAGGGTTTCTGGTTGGCATGTGTGGTAATATTCTTGATGATAAACACATCTACCACACACTTGGAAATGAATCTGATCACAGACTCAGCATACTCCCCCAGAATGTGTTGGTTGACAGTGACAGCCTCTCTGTACACACTCTGCTTCCTCTGGCCAGGTTCTTATCTGCTTCACAGATGGCTTGCTTCTAGTTAGCAGTGCCCTGCACACTAGAATTACCATAACAGAGAGATGGTCTGAATTTACAAGGTGAGGTTGGGGGGCTGCCCTGAATGTCTGTTTGATGTTTAAACCTGGCCCAGTGTGTTTTGTCCCCTGGTTGCAGAGTCCACGTCTTGGTAGTAATTTGGTAGTACTGTCCTCAGGTTAGCCTGATTAAAGTCTCCAGCAATTACATAAACACAGTCCGGGTCGGCATTTTGCATCATGCTGACAGACTGGTACAGTGTGTGGATAGTGCATCTTTTGTGTTAGCACTGGGGGAATGAAAACAGCTATGATGCTATTGGCGGTGAATTCTCTTGGCAAATTGAATGGTCGACATTTTAGTGTCAGGAACTCTACATCTTCGGAACAGTTGCTCGAGACAATTTTAGCGTTATTGCTGCAGTTGTCATTGATGTAAATACAAACACCCCCTCCCTCAGATTTGCCACTGAGAGCTTGGCTCCTGTCCGTTGTTAGCCGATCAATGCATGTCTCGGTAAAGATATAGGTACAACAGTCTCTCACCTTGTCTTGGGTGGTTAAATCCAGTCTCAAGTAGTCCATTTTGTTTTCCAGCAAGGACCTTAGGCAGCAGAATAGATGGAAGCACAGGTCTGTTGGGGTGGCTTCTAGCCTAATGCTAATACCCAAGTTTGCGTGGTCTCTCGCACCGCGTATGCTGCTTCTTGCGGTGGTGCTTCTTGATGGTAGGTGAGATCACTGCTATGCAGGCCCCTTGGTTTTGCTGGTGTTTTGAGTTCCAAAGCCAGTTGCTGGATGTGTCGGAGGAAGTCCAAGCAGAGTACTACGTCTACAGACTAATCTCGTATTCAACTATGTCAGAAAAGAGAGTACATTTAATGTAAAACTTACAACCTGTTACGAATGACGAGTAAACGAGTGGAAAAAACATTTGGTTTTCACCCCAACAAAGCGGGAGGTCATCTTATGAAATGTTTTAAGACTAAGACTAACTGATTAAACAAGTTGAGTCAGGTGTGCACCAGCTTGTTTGGAGTGAAAACCTGCAGCCACACCGGCCCATTGCGGATAAGATTGGGCACCCTTGGACTAGCTCTTCCCGTTGTCTAGGCTAAACACAGAACACTGCATTCACAATAAGAGTCCTTACAGAATAAACCCTGTGAGTAAATGGTGAAGAACAGTTACCCCAAAACTAACAGGAAAAACATTTTCCAAACACGCTACAATATGATCAACTGAAGAGTGTAATGAATATTTAAAAGGTCATTTCTGAATTTATCTACATAATGTCATTTGGATTAACTCTTATTTTAGCAACTGACAACAATTTTTTTTCTCTTCCAGTAACTTTACCCATTCCACGCATCTCTCTCCGTCCCACCAAAGAGGTCTCATGGGGAGAGAAGAGATCTAGCATGCTCACTAACTCCACGTTACAGTATTCCATTGTACATAAAATAATGTTATATAATTTGGATTATCTCAACAAATTTTCTTATGTCCAATTCTTTTTCAGTGCTTCTACCCACACCAAGCATTTCTCTCCATCCCACCAAAGAGGTCACATGGGGAGAAAAGGTTGACATCACCTGCTCTGTAGAAACCAAGTTCACAGGTGGATCCTTCACTCTGATACAGAACTCTGGGTCATTTAGAGAAACCAAGAGTGGAACCTCCGTCACCTTCAGTTTACCAAAAGTGGACTTTGTTCATAAGGGGTCTTACTACTGCCAGTACCAGACCAGAGTGTCCAGTCGTGATTTCAGTTCTCCACACAGTAGATCTGTTCATTTCTCTGTTGTAGGTAAGAAACATTATCTTTGACCTTTTTGCTCTAAATTCTTGCCTGTTTTGCAGTTCAAATTAAATCAAACCAAATACACATACACAGTATAATGTGCGGTGAAATGTTTATACAACTGTCTGTTGCCATGATAAACAGAATATACAATAGAAAAATATACAAATAAAAAAAGAATAGGGAAGAAGAGTATAAAATATAAACACCAGAATATAATGAAAAAAATAAATATATTTGATTGTAAAATGCAGATGTGTGTAAATGAGTAAGAGTTAATACAATGAAGGAAATTTATAAATGTTATAAATACTTCTAAATATAGCAGCATGTATTGTGTGTAGTGCATATGGTCATTGTCCAGTAGCCCGAGATGTTGTCTTTGTTGAGGCCCCGATTGGCCTCCTGGAATAAGCTCCCCCTTATGTGTCGGCCTTCAGGGAGCTTCCCTGACCGCAAAAGAGACGAGTCCATTGTTGGGATGGCTGAGGTCTTTCACTGTCTTTCTGGCTTTCATCTAGCACTGTTTGTTCTAGATATACTGTATGTTTGGGAGTTTTGTTTGGATGATGCCCTCATCTGATCATTTCACCCTCTGGAAAGCCTGCATGATGCCATTCCCAAACCAGGCTGCAATGCTCCCTGTCAGGATGCTCTTAGTGGTTGAAGTGTAAAAGTTCTTTAGCACTGTGGAGAGCAGTTTAAGATCTCTCAAGTATCTAAGGAGTATCTCTTCACCAGGGTGTTGGTTTGGCAGAACCATGACAAGTCCTGTGCACTGTGGACACCAAGGTACTGGAAGCTGTCCACTCACTCCACCGTTGATCCTGACTGGGTGGTAGTTCCTTTCATGTGCTTCTTGCTGAAGTCCACTATCAGCTGCTTTTTCTTGCTGACATTCAGGAGGAGAGAGTGATTGTGGATACTGGGCCCAGAATCCTACACACTTGGCTCCTTTGATCACCTCAGCTTCAGTCACTCTCCCAGGCAGATCCGCCACCATAAAATGTCACTTGGAGGCTCAGTCGAGTGAGTAACTTCAAAGACTTTACAAACTGAGAGAACTAATGCCTGATGTTCTTCTCCCTGCTGGCTTCGCCACTCTCTCTCTCTCTATCACTCTTCACCTCTGCAGGAAACTGAGGCTGCAGATAAGGACACATTGACCAGCTGCCAACCTAATTTCTGCTCAGCCACCCTTGCTGAAGAGACAAACAACCTCGGTATGGCAGCAGCTCAGCAAAAGGACCTAATTAAATACCTTTTGGGTTTTTTCTCCTCTGTTTCACATGAGATTTTTGAGGACTGTTTTGACTTTTCAAAAGACTTTTCATGTCTGCCTGTTCTGTGGGTCTCTCTTACTCATGAGCACCCCACAACTGACCCAGGGATGGGTTTAGTCCCTGGTCCAACTTGGTGGTGAGTATAGAGGGAATTATAGTATTACATGCTGAGCTGACAGCATTTTTTACATAATTTCCCTTTTTAGTGTCCACATGGGTCAAAGCTGTGTGCAATAAGTGTGTGATGGCATCATTAGTTGAGCAGTTGGGTGGCATGCAAACTGTGCCAGAGATGCCATCTGGTCCTGCTGCCTGCCTGGTGTTCAAGCTCCCAAAAGCTTTACTTATGTCATGCTCTGTGAAGAAGACATACCCTGCTCTGATTGGCACTGTTAAAGTCCCACAGCACAATGAGTGCAGTGTCCCAGTAATGAGTATGGTGTTGGGTGAAAGCCTCATGTAGTTCACACAAGGCAGTGTCTGTATCTGCCAGAGGTGGAATATAAACGGCACTGACTATGACCAAAGTAAATTCCAGAGTAAGGTAGAAAGGGCAATATTTGATGGTCAGGATCTCCAGGTTGGATGTGCAGGAGCATGTGAGACGACTGTTGCACCAGTTATTCACCATCAGATGCACTCCACTTCCCCTTGGCTTCTCTGACTTTTTCTGTCCATGCGGTAGACCAAGAAGAACTCTGCCAGCTAGATAGTGTGATCCAGTACCGCTGGGTTCAGCCTTGTCTTGTCTTGGAGGTTGCATTTTTTGAATTACTCTCAGGAACTTAACCCTGGCCATGAGGACACCCAGCTTGTTCTCCAGAGATAGGACATTGGCCGACAAGATGCTAAGCAGGGGTGTGTGGTGAGTGTGAGCACTCAGCCAGTTCCTGATGCTGGCTCATTTTCTTCAGAGCCACTGCTTTGTGTCACAATCTATTGCCCTTCTCCAGGATCTCACACGACCAGCATGGATCTGGTGTTAAAAATGGCAAAAGGTGAGAATATTGTAGACCAGTAAAAAATAAATATATTTCTTTCATAGCCATGTTGCAAAAGGAAAGAAAAAAGAAAAGACTTGTTTGTATGGAGCAGTCATGAGGGCAGTGGACCTCACCAATGCTGTCCTCAGCTGTGGTATGTTTTCATCATGTGCTTGATAATTGCCGTTAAGCATGTTTCTCATGTTCTCAATTGTTTTGAGATGTATATACAAAGAAGATATGCAATTCAAAGTCACAGAAAGTGAAAAAAAAATAAACAAGAGAAAAAATTCTCCCAGCTCCCATGTTTCAGAGCAAATCACATATGTGTGCATTACATGTGCTTTACAATCATGAACAATTTTCAGAGCTTCCAAAGAACAGCAAAGAATGAATGTAAAATAAAATCTGGTTAAAAGTAGATCTAGATATTTGGTTTAAAGAGCTCAACTTTTCTTGATTTTTTGAGACAAAATAGTAGTCTGCAAACATAATTGAAGTCGCAATGACGTGGCTAAAGTTTGTTTTTCAACATCTCTGGTGATATTGGGCCTAACTCTTAACTTGCTCAGCTATAGCTAATGCAATGATACGCATAATAAAAAGTTTCTGGAATTTTAAAAACATTAAACTTTATACTGATTAGTTTATACAGAATAAATTTTCTCTCCAAAGTCTGTTCAATCATAACCTGCTTAGAGGGTTAGGTTTTATGTGAGAACACATTCTGTGACACAATCATACCACTGAAGCACTGCCTAGTCAAGGTCATCCCTTAAAACTCAACGTCAGAATGCCAGAATCAAACATCAGATCAAGAAGGCCCCAACAATCACTTTGAAGTTGCAGCAGTGTTTAGTTGCTGAGACTGGAGTGATGGTGAACCAGTCTCGAACTGGTCTTTACTGGAGGATGGCTAGAAGGAAGCCCTTCAGATAAAACACATCAAAGCTTGTCTAGAATTTGCCAGAAAGCATTAGAGTGACCCATCTAAAATATGGGATAAGGCTTTGTGGTCAGATGACACACAAATGTGGTACAAACCCAAGACCTACCTTTTCTCAACAAACACCATCCCAAAGACAAGTATGCATGTTATAGGGGTGCTTTTCTGGGACTGGGTATTTTGTTAAATTTGAAGGATGTTGTAAAATACAGGGAGATACTGCAGGACAAACTGCTTCATTCTGTGAAAAGGCTAAAGCTTGGGAGAAACTTCATCTCTCTGCAGGACAGTGATCCCAACCCAGAAGTGTTTGAACAACAAAAAGTGAGTGTTCTACAGAGTCAGAGTCCAGGGGCTGCATCACAGAAAATGCGTAATGTCATGACAACTTCAGTTAAGACTGAATTTATGACACAAGCCATTACAGAACAACAGTTCATAATCTTATTTCCAGATAAGAAAACATTATTACAACTTATTATCTTAAATTGCCAAAATATCCTAAATATGGTCTTAACTTTAAGAAAACCCCAAGGTGTCCTAACTTCTGCTTAAAGCTTCCTTTTCTACAATTTAAACGTTCAGTTGGAAATAGAACCCCTTGTTTACAGGCTAGCTATTTGCTAGTATAATGGCTTCACATTTATTCGTCATAGAAAATGATGACTATAGATGTGAAATGATTGAAAGACTTTTGGTAGATCCAAACAATGTCTTGCGTCGGTGACAAAACGCTTATTAGCACCAACCGTCTCCTGTGGGCCATGATACTGCAGTTAGCCGAGTAGTTGCAGCCAGATTTGGAGCAGCCAGCAAGGCGTCACAGGGCTCTTCCGGTCATGGTGCAGCTAACACACTAAATTTCATGCCAAAGGTGATGTTCACAGCGAAGTTGCTGATGTAGCAAAGATTTCTCATCTAGTAATGTCATGTAATCTCAGAAAGGTAGCACCTGCAATCAGTCGTTTGGCTCCTGTGTATATTCAGTTTCCCAGGGGATCAGAGACATCAAAAGAACATTCTTCCAGTCATCTCAGATGCCAGGGGTGATAGGACTGGTCAACAGTTCTTTGTTTCCAATTAAAACCTGTCTATAACACTAACAGAGATAATCCCAGGTTCCAAGACAAAAAAGGAAAACCCTGATTTTTTTCTCTACTTTTGTTGTGTATTTTTCTGATAATGCAATTAGCATAGAAGCATCACTGGTCCCACCACTTGTTGTCCTTATTTCACTCGCTTGTACAGCAGCTTTTTTTGTTTCACTCATGAGATTTTTTTTTTTTTTTGCTCCAAGACATTTCTGACACTGCAGACATCCTATTATTTATTCCTATTCCTTGTACTTGTCTTGATGCATTACTGTAGACAAAAATTCTCTAAATAAAATATGCTTAACTTTTTCAATCACTGTTAAAAGACCTTCCAGTTCATTGGATTTGAAGTATGAAGCTCTTCTCTTTTGTTTATCCATTTTACAGAAGTTATTTTACAGAAGTTTACATAGGCCTGGACAATAACTCAATATCAATATACACTATATTGCCAAAAGTATTCACTCACCCATCCAAATCATTGAATTCAGGTGTTCCAATCACTTCCATGGCCACAGGTGTATAAAACCAAGCACCTAGGCCTTCAGACTGCTTCTACAAACATTTGTGAAAGAATGGGTTGCTCTCAGGAGCTCAGTGAATTCCAGCGAGGTACGATGATAGGATGCCATCTGTGCAACAAGTCCAGTCGTGAAATTTCCTCGCTACTAAATATTCCGCAGTAAACTGTCAGTGGTATTATAACAAAGTGGAAGCGAACAACAGCAACTCAGCCACAAAGCGGTAGGTCATGTAAAATGACAGAGCGCGCATGTTGAGGCGCATAGTGTGCAGAGGTCGCCAACTTTCTGCAGAGTCAATTGCTACAGACCTCCAAACTTCATGTGGCCTTCAGATTAGCTCAAGAACAGCGTAGAGAGCTTCATGGAATGGGTTTCCATAGCCGAGCAACAGAATCCAAGCCTTACATCACCAAGCGCAATGCAAAGCGTCAAATGCAGTGGTGTAAAGCACGGCACCACTGGACCACTTTCATGCTCCTAATTTTGTGGGAACAGTTTGGGGATGGCCCCTTCCTGTTCCAACATTACTGCGCACCAGTACACAAAGCAAGGTCCATAAAGGCATGGATGAGCGAGTTTGGTGTGGAAGAACTTGACTGGCCTGCACAGAGTCCTGACCTCAACCTGATAGAACACGTTTGGGATGAATTAGAGCAGAGACTGCGAGCCAACATCAGTGTCTGACCTCACAAATGCGCTTCTGGAAGAATGGTCAAAAATTCCCATAAACACACTCCTAAACCTTGTGGAAAGCCTTCCCAGAAGGGTTGAAGGTGTTACAGCTGCAAAGGGTGGGATGACATCATATTAAACTCTATGGATTAAGAATGGGATGTCACTCAAGTTCATATACGTGTGAAGGCAGACGAGCGAATACTTTTGGCAATATGGTGTATATTGCGATAGAAAATGTTTCAATAACGGTGATATGATTTTTAAATGTCTTATATTTCGATATACATTATTTACAAAATCTGTACTGACTGACGTTCATTACAGGGCACTGCCGTCAGTTCATTGCATTCAAGCCAAGCTGAAAAGGCAAAACATAGTGATTGATGACGTACACCACAGGCACGCAGCCAGTGCTCAGCAGTAGGAGGCTAGGCCAGGTTCGGTTCGGCTCAAACGCCACACGTTCTAGCTGCAAAATGAGTACCGCTGACCGCAATACAAATGTGACTGAACGAGCTTCCACGAGTGATAATAAGGCAGACCAAGTAGTTGATAAGAGAGGAAAGACTAATTCAGTGGTGTGGAAGTGGTTCGGCTATCGAAGATCTGATAAACTTCAGGTTTCGGTGTGCTGCAAAATGGCTAAGACATGATGGCTAAAGACATGATGCCATTTAGTACGCTGGAAAATGTAGGCTTCAGGAAAATGATGTCAGTCATCGACCCCAGATACGAACTCCCTGGCCGCCGGTATTTTTCATGCACAGCTATACCTAAGCTTTACGGTGAAGTTAGGGAAAGGGTGGAGGAGCAGCTGAAGTCACTCGCTCGTTTCTTGGGGACTGAGCGAGGACCGCCAGGTCTGCGTTACCACAGACAGTGGGACCAGTGTCATCAAAGCTGCTGAGTTGAACGGATGGACAAGACTACAATGCTTCGGGCACCGACTGAACTCTGCAATTGGTAAGTCATACACAGTTAATATACGTTTGAGGCCTATGTTAAGTTATGTTGTGTATGGTATGAGTATATTTTTGTTACGAAAATCATTGCAGTAACAAATAGGCTATGCCATACACAAAATAACCTAAACGTATCATAGCAGTGCTTGCGTGTTTTTGATAGCTATTTTTATATTTTTTATATTTGTTTATATTCTTTTTATATTCGCACAATTTTATTGTGTGCAATTTATGTCTGCTATATAGTTGTTACTTGCCATGACATAAGAATTTCATTGAGCATGTGTTATACTGTGCATTTGATAAATAAAACACTTTGAGTTGTGGTGCTCTGTGTTGTGTATAAATACAGAGCATTGCGCTGCACCCTTTAGTGGCTGCTCGCTACTCAGCATAATGCTCCATACCACACCCAGACACTAAATATTACTTAGTACGCCTATAGTTTTGATTAGGTGATTTCATTCCCCTGATTTATGTGATTTTATAGGCCATTTATTTCATCTTTAGTCAAGAAATACTTATTTGTATGGACGATACATACAGCAATTCTCTCAAATTCAAAGGTGTTTTATTGACATGGGAACAGATGTTTGCCAAATCAAGTGTGAAATAAAAACAAAAAATGTGCATAAGCAGGAGAATTGTGATTTTGCTGTAAGAATTATATAAATAAGTGAAAAAATTGTAGTTAAAATACAAATACAACTGAGAACTATACATGGCAACATTTTTCTCTCTCTATCTACAGAGAAAGTTAACCAAGACAAGCAAGTGGACAGACCAGTTGGGGTCTGTAAAAAGGTGGTGGCTGCCTCCTCCTTCTCCTGGAAGAAAAAGCGGGACCTTGCAGCTGCTCAAGAGGAGTATAACTTGCTAAAGCACAAGCTCATGAGTGAAACACCAACAAGATGGGGCTCCCATCAACAAATGGTGAAGCGGGTTCTGGAGCAGAAAAGGGCCATCACAGAGGTCCTCTAAAAAAAACAAGAAGACCAGGTCACTGGTTCCCATCTGGCAAGATGTGGAGTCTATAGATGCAGCTCTGAGCCCACTCCTCAAATTCACTGATGCCTTGTCCGGCGAGTCTTATGTCAGTGTGTCATTCCTAAAACCAGTCATGCATCTCTTCAACACTTCCATCTTGAAGGAATCAGAGGATGACACAGAGCTCACCTGGACCATAAAGACAACAGAGATGGGATACCTCAACGAAAAGTATGATGACCCAGCAATGGGTGATTTGCTTGACACAGCATGCCTCGTTGACCCAAGATTCAAGCTTCAGTACACTCAGGAGGAGAAGAGAGAATACATCAAAGACAGAGCCGTGTTGGAGATGCAGAAGGGAGAGAGAGCTGTTGTGGTTAGGAAAGAAGAGTCCAGTGAAGAAGCCATGGGAGAAGCTTCTGCAGCAGTGCCACCAGCCAAGAAAGCAAAGCGGTCTCTGGCTAGCTTTTTTTCAAACAGCCCCACCACCACCAATATAGCAGGCCTGAGTGCACAGAAGGCAGTTGAGAGGGAGCTGGCAAAACTGGCAAAACAGTACTTGTGCATTCAGGCCACAAGCTCCCCCTCTGAGAGAGTTTTTAGCACAGGTGGCAACATCGTCACATGTAAAAGGGCAGCTTTGAAGCCAGATAATGTAGACCAGCATGTATTTCTTGCCAGAAACCTCTAGTGCCCATCACAGGGTGTCATCAACCCTCAAACCTGTCCCTCCCCCAGCAACATGTGTTTTTATTGTTGCTCACTCTTTTTTTCTGTATTCTACAGCAACTCTGAGCACTTTTCATATTATTTATCTTGGCTGAAGCATTTTTGTTTTAATCTATGTACATACGAATAAGATAATCAGCCTATGCTGTAGTTTGAAGATATTAATATTGACAAAGCCGAGAAGTTTATGTTTATTTGATGGTGATGCCATGTTTCTTGGTGATGCCATGTCTCTTGTGTATGAAGGCTGAATACAAATAAAAGGTGAATATTGATTTGTCCCATTTTTATTTCTAAAAGTTTATATAGTTTTATATGAGGAGGTTTCATAGACTTGGCAAATTAATTTTTCAGAAGTTTGTAGGTACAGACATCCGTTGTGGATGTTCTTGGCAGTTTTTCTGTGGCTTTTATATTGTTCATATCGATATCAGAATTATATCGACCAAAAGTAAAAAATATATCGTCATATAAATGTTGGCCATATCGTCCAGCCCTAAATTTACAGTACTGCCAACTACACTGCAAATATTTGCTTGCTATTGCGTTGTTTTGGCTCCAACAGCTCTGCGTATGGTTGGTTGTAAGGTAACAGACATGACTGTCGATTGTCGACTTTGATCGAGTAAGTTGAAATTTCCTAACTTGAGATAAGCAGCTGAAGATTCCTGAATTAATAAGATTTGGTTCTGTAATATGAATTTATTTATTTTAAAACTTTTATCTTGACCTGTCAGATCTTAAGACAAAAAGATGTTTCTGTAATACGGCCCCTGATCTCAATCCAATTGAGAATCTGTGGCAATAAAAATTGCAATATGAAACTCTGCCAGGAAGAAAGGGGAACTGTGTGCAAAGCTGGTAGAAACTTACCCCAACAAATATAAAGCTGTTATTGTAGCAAAAGGAGGATCTTCTGCTACTGTAACCCATTTGCCTCAATGTTTGACATGTTCAGTATTCTTTTCTGTTCAAGACAGTGGTATAGAGTGGTTATCTGAGTTACCGTAGCCTTCGTAAAACTACCATTCACTGAAAGGTTTTTTTTTTTATTGCACCTTCATCTTCATCATCTTAAACTGCCAGATCCAGCTAGGGTCGTGGTTGCATGACCCTGTCCCTCTGCAACTTCCTCCAGCTCATTCTGGGGGACCCCAAGCTGCTCCCAGGCCAACTTGAAGATATAATCCCTCTAGCAGGTCCTAGGACGACACTGGGGTCTAATCCTAGTAGGCTGTCATGTCTCTGTTACCTTTCTGGCTTTCCCTTTTAGTTGGGCTGTGATAGCTAGATCTGCCGGAGTCTCTGCAGCACTCTGTTAACACTGTAAACTGTGATCAGTCAGACTCTTTAAAGAATTCTGTGTGTTTTCTTTGCCAAGTTGAACAACTGCCCGTTCTGTGGGTCTGATGCTGTTGCTCTTCTGCCTTGATCGGGTGCTCACTGCTCGCTAGCCTTCTGGACCGGTTTGACAACCATGGAGCTTCCAGCTGTACAGCGTTGTGCAAACCTCACCTGCATGAACTGACCTTTCTGATGATACTGTTGCTGCTGCTGCACAGACTCAAACTACTTAATTGTAACCATTGCATTGTAAAAAGTGCTATATACATAACCTTTGACTTGACTTGGCTGTGCCTGGTAAACCTCCAATGGGAGGTGGCCAGGGGGCATCCCAATCAAATGCCTGAACCACCCCAACTGGCTCCTTTCAATGTGATGGTGTAGTGATTCTACTTTGAGCTGTTCCCAGACAATCAAGCTCCTCACCCTATCAAGTAGAGTGTAGCACGCCACCCTGCAAAGAAATCTAATTTCTGCTGCTTGTATTTGTGATCTCTTTCTTCTGGTCATTACCCAAAGCTGATAAATATAAGTGAGGGTTGAGATTTAGACAGACCAGTAAACAGAGAGCTTTGCCTTATGTCTCTTTATGTCCCTTTTCTGGCATATGAAAGGTTTTCCCAGAGGTGGGAGTCTGAACAGGGGCCTCTGGCAGTCATTCCTAGCACACCCTAACTATTCACTTGGGTCTATCACGTCTGACCACCAGTGTTCCCTGCTCACCACCAGATGGTGATTGTTTGACAGCTCAGGACCTCCTTTCACCTGAATGTCCAGAACATATTGTCCTAAGTCAAATGAAACAAAGTCGATCAGTGACATTTGACCCAATGAGCTCTGGCACCAAGTACACTTATAAACGTCCTTGTGTTTGAATTTGGTGTTCTTTATGGACAATCCATGAGTAGCACAGACATCCAATAACAATTCACCTTTCAGGTTTAAATCGGGTAGGCTGAGCTTCCTAATCTCCCACTTCCAAGTTTCTCAGTCATTGCCAACATGAGCATTTAAGTCTCCAAGCAAGACTATGGAGTCTGTAGGTGGGGCCCTTTCCAAAACCCCACCCACTCGCTCCAAGAAAGTCAACTACTCCAAACTGTTGTTTGGTGCCTAGGCACACACAACAGTCAGAGTTGTTCTCCCTGAGATTTTAATTCACATTCAGGTGACCCCTTTCATCCACCGGGACAAACTCCAGGGCCGGGGTCTGGCACCTCTCACACTGTGCAACTCCTGAGTAAGAGAAGGACCAAGGTTCGGTTCCAGAGCAAACACTGAGTGGAGTTGAGCCCAACTATGTCTAGTTGGTACCTTTTAGCCTTCCGCATAAGCTCTGGTTTCTCTCCCTCAGCGAGGTTATGTTCCACTTGCCAAGAGCCAGTTGCCACTGCAGGGTCCATACCACTAAAGACCTCCCTGCTATCTTCCACTGCCCATATGGCACTGCACCAGTCCCCCACGCTGGACCTTGCGGGTGTTGGGCCCACATGGTCCCCCCCACGTTTTCGGGCTGAGCTTGGGCCGGATTACATGGGCTGCCTGGCCACCATGCGCCCACCAAGGAACACTGCCCCCAGGCCTGGCTCCAGGGGTAGGTGGCAGGAACCCTCTCCCGGGCTGGGTACACAGTATCTCATGTCCCTTGATCAGGGGGGTTTTGGATCGAGTTTGTCTGGGTCTTCATTCCAGACCTGTTTGCCTTGGGAGACCCCACCAGGAGCATACTGCTCCAGACAATATAGCTCTGAAGATCCCTAGACCACACAACCCCTTCCACCATGACAAGGCCCGATATTGCAACATTCTGACTAAGAGATTGTTGTGCGTAAAAATCCCAGGAGATCAGCAGTTATAAAAAAATACTCAAACCAGCTTGTCTGGCGCCAACAATCATGCCATGGTCAAAATAACTGAGATCACATTTTATGGTTGATGAAAAAATTACATCAAGCCCTTGACTCGTATCTACATGATTTTATGCAGTGCACTGCTGCCACATGATTGAATGATTAGACAAATGCATGAGTAAGTAGTTGTAAAGGTGTTTCTGAGAAAGTGTTTGCTGAGTGTATATAGGCACCAAAAACATAAAGATAACCAAACACACAAGCCCTTCATTAAACCCTGTTCACTTTAGTTACTGTTGCTATATCTGACAAGCTTTCCAGCACAGATCTCATTCAGAAAGTGAGAAGCCTTATCAGATAGCAAGCCATGTAGATTACACTGAAATATAGAGCAGCATTGGTATATCATTGTTAGGTAAACTTATGATAAAATTAATTTTAAGGATAATATCTGGTGTGTATGCCATGTTGGGCTTTGATAAATACTTCAGGTGTTAGCAAAGCTCTCACCATTCTCCATTTAGCTCTAAAGCTCACTGGAATGTTGTGCTCATATTGTGGGTTTAATTCTTAATACTAATTAAAAGGAAAAAAAGACATTGTTACATTGTGTGTGTTCCATGTGATTTGTAACTAGTTAGTAATGCTGTCTGCCAAATGCAGAATTTTAATTCAACAGGTCAAACTTTGTATTCTGAACTGAATTAAAAAGGTATTGTAAATCAGATAAACTTTTCCCAGCATGTATTTTAATGATATTTCTTTTTCAGTGACTCTGCCCACTCCAAGCATCTTTCTCAGTCCTACCAAAGAGGTCACATGGGGAGAGAAGGTTGACATCACCTGCTCTGTAGAAACCAAGTTCAGAGGTGGAAACTTCACTCTGATAAAACATTCTGGGTCTTATACTGAGATCAAGAATGGAAACTCTGTCACCTTCAGTTTTCCTAAAGTGGACTTTGTTCATGAGGGGTCTTACTACTGCCAGTACCAGACCAGGGTTTCCAGACATGATTTCAGTTCTCCACAGAGTAGTTCTGTTAATATCTCTGTAATAGGTAAGACTAA